TGAATTATAAGTAACATTTTGAAAAAAATTGTTTTTAAATTTCATGTCACGGTTCTTCTATTGTTGTGCCGATCGTACAGTGATTTTATGAATAGTTAATAGCTGTTATGCTTGTTGATTATTATTTTTCCTTTCTTTAAATAAAACCGAAAATATGTCGTTGATAATATTCATCAAATTACTTTGTCATCGTAATAGTGTTTGTATGTTTACAGTCAATGAACACAAAAACGTTCAGAGTTCCGACAAAATATATAATTATATTTTTCCAATATAAAAGTGGTTTTTTTTTCATGATGAGTTTTCGGTTGTTTTGTAAATTTATTTGATATTTGCACAAAAGATTTTAAATTGAATGGTTAGATAAAAAAATTCCAAATAAATAAAAAAGATGTTGTCGTTTTTTTAAGGTGTTTACAAAATACCAAAAAATTATAACGGTTATACAATGTTCGTTTCAAACATAAGTGTTGTAATTGCTGATGCCTTCAAATTATAAGTACATTAGATATTCCGTTACGACTGCAGTGGTCTGCTGTACTAACAAAGCTCTCCATTGCGCATTGCTCGTGATTCATTCAAACGACTTCTCTACTTAGATTAAATTGTTCTTGTCCGAGTAATGACCGTTATCACCAATTTGGCCTGATAATTCAGTTGTTTTTAGGTCTATAACTTTAATAGTGTTAAACTATACTCAGTGTGGTTAATAACGCTTAACCACTGAAAACGGCCATCGGTATAAGAATACAACTACCGAACGTGGAAAACGGACACGTCAAAAACTAGACCGGTCGTGCTTTTTTTGGGTTTATTGCTCGTTAAATTTTAGACTGTCGCTGACCTCACTCTGTATACATATTTATGTACATAGCATATATATATATATATATGCTATCACGGGACACCGAGGGTGTAGAAAAATAGGAGAAATAGTTTCCGCCGACGTCGCTGAGTTATTTTTATTTTTCTACGCGAGGCGCAGACATTTGTACCGTTCAGTTTTTAGACAGCCGATATAGATAGGGGCGATTTTTATACCAAATCATCGGCCCACGGGGGAAGAAGGGAGAGCGTTTATATAATATATATATATATATGTATATACACACACGTCCGTACATATATCACATTATCATCGTACATCCAGTGTGTATCGCAGGGTGTTGTTACACCGCCGAGCGAGTGTATTATATTTTCTACAAGGGATGCACATGATATAGCCCGTGTTGTTGTGCCTCACTCGTCGTCGGCGAACCTATATAATTCTCTCTCTTTAACACTGTACACCGCGGTACTATTATACACGTCCATTGGCACCGGTACCCGGTGGATAGGATATTATTATTATCGTAAAAGCGTTTTTGCTCTGCGGTTTAGCGGTTGCCGCCACCACCAGTATTGTTGTTGGGCCTTTTAACTAACCCCCCACCACCCCATTCCCGCATCCCTTCCATCGTTTTAGTATTTCCCTTTTTGGGCACGCCTTTCGCCCCTTTATTTATCGTTTGATCCTCTCCTCCTAGGCGGGCAGTGAGAGATTTGTTGATAATTATATGATACCGCACACGTCATCGTTATAGTGTGCGAGGAGATATCTTTAATTTTTTTTCTTCAATACCTCACCGCAAATTATTCGCAGTCTCCGCTTTCGCGTCGGTTAAAGAATTTCCACGACGACCTACGGGTGTCCGGTTTCCATTGTTCGATGAAAACAATACAATATAATATCATCGAATCGTTATATTCGGTTTAATGGCACGTGTCGCTCCGGTTTTCCTCGTCGACGCGGTGTCCAATTCCAAAAGAACCTTAAATGATTATAGCCCAAACGAACGATTACACGGGTTTTCCCTTACCCTTATCGGTCGCACCCTACGGTCAGGTTAGGCTGAGGACTGTGATGAGTCGTAAACTATTTTAACTGTTTTTCGCTTTAATGTGCAACTGCGAAAGTATTGGATTTTTTACAATAACACGGTACTTAAAATTGTACAGAGTGTTTTAACATGGTTATGTTTTACAGCTGAGGAGTTAGGGGTCGTTCCAAAATTTGCAGTAATTACCTAGGGATTTTTTTTTTTTACCAACGTTTACTTTTCAACCGATGTACCATGGTACCAAATTACCAATGCAGCATAATATATTATCTATGGATCAGAAATCGTACACAAAAATGTTTTAGCTTCGATACGGAGCTGAGGTGTTTTTATTTTATTTCTCTTTGTATTTAACTAAATATTCTTGCGCAATTTTAAAAATGTACTCCATTTGAATTGCCGAAATAAATTACTATGCAAATTAAAAAAAAAAAGTTTTTGCTCCTTATCAAATTGTGTAACCAATGTAAAGCCCAAGTATTATATTTAAACCGTTTGTCATTGATACATTTTTTAGTACGAACAACAGCACATTCGGTACGGTTAACGTTTTTGGAAGAATAGACACTATGTTTTATTGTTTTGTCTGTAGATGTTATTATTGTTGAAGGTACGGCCACTTTAACACCGCTTGCAGTTGATTTATATGGGTCGATCACCACCTGGTGTGATTATATAGACGGTGTAACGACATTTATATCTGTACCAAAAGCGTAAATATCAACGAAATCGGTTTTCTATAAACCCTACAAGACACACGTTGAATTCTAGTAGAGTCTGTGCTTTTTAAATGCAATAAGAAGACTGCCATAATAGTCTTCAATTCGACAAACCACGATGCGAGTAATAACGCACGAGTATAATTTGATTTAAGCAGGTACAGTACAAATTTATTCAAGAACCCGTTGAAATTGTTTGAGTCTGACAATAATGTGTTCGAAGCCATAGGGATACAGCCTCGGCAATAACCGTTTTTATTTCCATTGCGTTTAACGATCAAACGTGTTAACCGAGAAAAACGTAAATAAGATGCAAATTGTAATCGGCCGGTGATAAAGTTGTATGTGATTTCTGGGAAGAAAATATGCTTAAAGGTTCGCATTGTATCATATGTTATTTAATATATGTAAAATACGTACCTACTACAACGTTCGCTTTTAGACTTACAGTAATGTAAAACAAAAATGGCTTGCGTAAGTCTAACTATTTGATTGGAAGAATTTTTTTTTATATACGAGCGACTCGCTCAACGAGCAAAATAGTAAAATATAAAAATGATTTTTATTTTATTTTATTAAAATCATAATTTATATTATTTGACTATGAAACTATTGTCTAGGAAACATTCACAGCAACATGTACACAACATTTTTATAAAGCTGTTGGAGATAAATTTGAATTACAGTGACAAGTCTTTAAGAGATGTTTTAGATTTTAAACGATGGTTGATAAGAAAATGACAAATTACGTTTCACAAAATTGACTGACAGTATTGTTTTTTTTATTGATAAATTACACTTTTTATAAAAAAAGTCTTGTGTACTTTTTATTGTATAAAGGTGACTGTTATGAGCAGCTTCTATAGGCTATAATATAATTAAGTTGACCTACATGATATCGTTTGGGTTTCTTTTTAAAAATACATCTTATGTTTAGCGCGATGAGTTTTGTAGATAATTTCCTTTGAAAGTAAAAGAAGTAACGTTTCTCAAACGTTTTGGTTTGATGACTGTCCATTAGACTGAGTAGTTCTGCTTTTCTTTTTGACTCTCTATTTCAACTCACATACTATATTATGATAACCAACCGCAAACTCGATAAGCCATTAACAATGTTACCAGATTTTTTCAGGATTTAAAAATCCAACTCTTTGAAAATTGTATACTGATAACCTAAACTTATTTTTGTCCTAAAGGCTAAAAATTTCACTTGGCTTATAATTTTCAAAATTATTTAAACCCGGGGTCTGCCTTCTTTGAGTTTTAGATAACTTATCGTTAAATTAAATAATATTCAAGTTCATTAATTAAGATGGTACATCACTTTAATATTGTTCATTAATTAATCTAATCAAATCAATTATAAATATTAATACGATTTGTGCAATATTCTGCCGATTCAAAAATATAATATTTATAATATAATATTACATTAGTACCTCGCACTAATGGAAATGTAACATAATATTTCAGTAAAAAAACGTAATGTACGTATTATCTGACAACGTTAAAACTGAAAACAAGGCCATATCATTATAGTAAACTATAAAATATAAATACTTATATTTTAGGGTTTACAAAAAAAACTTATTTCAATAATGACATTGTTAGAATTTACTAATGTAGTTCATCATTACGTAGATGGACTACATTCACCGTATATTTAACTATTTGCAGACTTTTAGTATCATTATCGGTAATGTTATAGTTAATCGCCGTAAATAGAACTGAAGTGTTAAAAATCCAGTGTATTTCACATCAATCAAAATAAACGTTTATCTAAGAAAAAAAGGCCTCTTTAAACACTTTAGGTTGTACAGTCTACTGGGTGGTCATTTGGACGGCTATTTCCGTTTTTTCGGCTAAACTGTTCTGACCTATCGCTATCGTATCGTCATCATTTTGCTTATGATAGCTATTTTTAACGAGCACACCGACATTTTTTCCACGAACCTTTGCAACACGCAATAAGTTCATCCACTATAATAGTTTCGAGTATACTACTCATTTCACCCTGCTGACGTCAGTGTACAATTTCCCCGGAAGTCAATAGTCAAACCCGTTTTATGATATTGCATGTTGGTAACAATGGCAAAGAATTATCAGGAAACATAGCAGTCGATCCTCATGAGTATACAATTAAATGATTTGTACACGTTATATGAGTTTCCCGATCGCTCAGTCTAAACGTTCAGTAGGTTATACAAGATACCACAATTTAAATAAGAAAATCAAATATCCGAGTTTATGTTTTTTATCGAGGCCCCCCCCCCCCACCAAAAAAAAAGGAGAAAGATTGATTTCGGTTTTTTATCAATATACCGTGTACCATATTATTATATTTTACACATAATAGTATATACCATTTACACGTGGGGTGGGTTTTTCTATGTTTTCGCAGGAACCGCGGGCGCAGGCTGTTCTGCGTTTACACTGTCCGACCAGCTACAGGCCCGGTCGGCGGCCGTCGGTGGTAGTGTCCTAGCGGACCGTAGCAGTCGCGGTGAGGGCAAGGCTTCTGATCGCGCACTGCTTCGGGTCGCGCCGGTCGTTTTCGGCGGCCAAGGGCAAGTGGCACTGGCGAGTCGGTGCGCGGCCACGGTTCATCGGGCAAAGCGAAAAAACGATCGGATTCGAGGACTTGGAGTGGCCGGACGGGTTCGAGCACTACTACAATGACGTGGAAATACGTACGCCGCCGCTACAAGCGTCTATGGTGAATAGTGGCCACGGCGCTGGCCTCTATCATCACCACCATCACCACCACCACTATCACCACTGCCACAGCGACCGCGGCGTGAAGCACCGCCGCAGTCATCACACGGACAACACGTCCTACTACCACCAGCCGCAGCCGTCGTCCCGATCGCTGTACAGGCGCGTGTTCAACTTCATCAGACAAGCGTGGACCGGCGTCAAGTTCGCCTTAGGTTATATGATACGCTACAAACTTACCGATACAATATTTAAATACCTATATTTTTGGCCGGCTGTTTAAGCAATGTAACTAGTGTTGTAATATATGTTGCTATAATATACCACAAATGTTATAATGGCCAATACAAAAGTATTCTAGCCTCAAGCAAGGGTTCTTCATTTTACCTGAATTCTATTTGGGAGCTTAAAGAATTGAGCATCTGAATTTGCTAAGTCACTTCTCTAGTTACGTCTATGACGTTATAGTAATATAATACAGGATTTAACTTCTCTAAGAGTATATTATACTACGATTTCTCCTTAGTTGGGTATGGTGATTAGTGGGTGTTCGTTACGTCGACATTAAACCCAATGTACTGCATGATATTATAGTTTACTATTGTACATCCTATTGCGCTGTGATACTGTACTTTTATAATCATGTAATAATCACAACAATAAACACACGAGAATGTGCACAATAAAAATAAAGCATGTATTATAAATATTAGATTAAGTTTTAATCGCACTATATTTGTTACGTTAAAGTAAACCAACAATTATTGAAACCTTATTGTGTTTAATATCAATAGTATATATCTTAATAAAACATAATGACACATTTATTAATATTATACAATTTTAAAATTCGATTTACACAATAAGTATCGTCATCGATTGTGTTTAACTGTAACGTTTTCATTTTGATTGTGAACACAATTCATTGGCTGTATATAATATTAGTAATTACTGCTTTTGAATGCTTGTTATTAGCCGCTGTTGGGATTATTACAATAATTATTATTATGATTTTGAATAACCAGCCCGAAACTATTGCTTCGTTCATGGACTTGTTAGTGTCCTACCCTAACTTAACCGGTGTATTACAGGATTGGCGATGGCTTTGCCACAACGTCGGCACGGTTAATTTACAAGGAACGCGCTCTTATGCAAATCAGTTCTAATCAATTCTAATGAATAAATAACGAGACCCTGTCGGTCTACTTAGGCGGTTATATAATTTTACATACAAGCACTGTTGAAGGCACACAAATAAAAAGCTCTTTAAAATGGCATCGGCTAATTTTCAAAATAATTAAATATAAATTTGTTGTTTCTAATGGGCACAGCCGTTTTTCAAAAGCTATCGATTACTCTTATGTTGCACGCTAACACACGTTGGTGCGTTTTCCCTTCACCTCATACATTATTATCTTCACGCTGAACCAAACCATAAAATAAAGATATGAGTAATAACTTATCTTTCGATTTTTTTGTTTATACATTTAAAAATTTATGTTCGAGTAAAAAGCGTTAACATATTTTTTTTATTTAAACGCTTCTCACAGATTTTTTATCGTGGGTAACCACACGAAGCCAAATGTACAATTTTATAGTTAATTAGCACAACATTTATAATAAATTTTAATTATTCCAACAGTTATTGTATTATATAGGTACAATTGCATTTCAATATTAACGACGAAAAAATACATTTCTTTTACGGAAAATCGTTTTAAACCGACTAGGAAATTAATCTGTTTTATTGTCTAAAACTTCACGTCGAGGATTTATGATTTAGTTCAACGAATAATGCTATTGTGTAAACAAGTACCTACAACGAATCACAAGTTTATGTATTCATATTATCACAATCTGCATAAGCTTGCGCCATGAACAAGCTCTTGTCCGGCCTTTTGTAGGCATAATAACTGCTGCAATGGTTAGGTCAACGGGCTGTATTAACCGTCTAGACTCGAAGGATCGTGGTGAAGATTAGCTATAATACTATATAGTATTATTGTTTGTATTCGTATTCAATATTGTACGACCTTTATATTTGTATACCATTTCGAATGAAACACCACTTTGTTGAGATTGCATTGCAAAATACCTATTATAAAATATGATTATACAATCTCTTAAAACCTATTATACAATATTATGATTGCTGAAATATATTACAAATCAAACATCATTTATTACCTCTTTCGGTTTAGTTTCAGAGAATTAAATAAACTCACTAAAATTAAAATAAACATTTAACAAACGCATTTTATATCCCTTTCTTTGTCTTACAAAGGCCGTTGAGGCACATCGGTGTTCCGTACATTTCATAAAATAAAAATTAGAGTTTAGCATTAATCTAAATTAATGAAGTATTATTATAAAATATACATTAAATATATTTATGATTACTCTTGATATTTTTTATCCCTGTTTTTTATTCTTTATTAATAATTGGAATACATTTTCAAAAATGTTGCAAAACTATAAAGAAAAATTAATAAAAAATTAACCCTTAATTTGTCATCGTGTTATATTAATCTGACTTTCTAGGTTACAAATGCTATTGTTCTCTATACCTCGGTAAACTATTACGCTTCCGCCTTGGATCTAATGATGAATAGTTTTAGTAAAAGATATATGCTATATTTTTCGTAAGAATTATAATAAAAACTAAAGCACATTAAATTTCAATAAATTATGTAATAGAATAGAGCATGCACTAAATTACTATAAACCTGAAAACCGAAATTGACCCTAGAGACCCGAAGTAATGTCTTATGATAACACTTTGTGTAATTTAATCGCTTAATTTTTAGTAGTTTTTTTTTCCCAATAACGTGTAATGGTTGAATTATTAAGTTTATTATGATCATTTTTCAATAGTAGTTTACTTCGCTTGACATTCGTTTAGCTAATTTTTTTTTTTTTTTAATCAATGTTATTATCATATTATACTTGATCATTCGTTCATAATTGGAAACAGACTAAAAAAAAATAATAATAAAACACTCCGACACTGTTAAGCGAACAATATGCATTAACCCATGGTAAAGATAAGATGGTCGAACAGGTATTTTTTTTTTTTTTTTGCTAGGGTATTTTTTGCCTTGCCTTGCCGTTAAAGTGTTTGTAATAACTTGTGCATGGCGCACTTCGACGTCGGTCGGTATAAGGTCGAGTGGCAATTATGTGAAATTCAGCATTATTTTCCGCTTTTGAACGAATACAACAATCACTATGCGCGGTGACAATGATGCGCCGGTAAAGTGTTTTTTTATTTTTATATTTTTTTCGCTTGCATGGCAATATTTTTTTATGCATAAAAAACACATAGAACGCGTCGCGCGATCTTGACTGTCGTTGCCGTCTATTGTTACAACCGCACGAAACGCATAATATTGTAAAATAATAATAATTAATAATTGGCTTATAATTATTTTCTCCACGCAGATTCCGAACTAGATGACTTGGAAACACCAGCCAGATATAGACCGGAGAGCGTACAATATTTCTGTCGGACGACGGGTTTCACGGAATCGGAAATCAAAAAAATTTACCGCAACTTCAAGACGGAATGCCCGACGGGTCTTATTAAAGAGGACACGTTTCGTGGCTTTTACTCGCAATTCTTCCCCCAAGGAGGTAATAATATATTATTGCCTACTCACAATAGCACACCTTCACCCACACAGCAGATGATAACAGTTTTAATCGAAACGTTTTCAAAAATACGCATGTATATAGTTTATCGACATAATATAACTTTTATAATAAAATATTGTGTTTACATTATATTTTATCAACTAAAAATACTCAGAAAATCATTACAGTACGTTTAGCTGGTAAATTGACAGTTTAAAATTGGTATTTTGTTTACACTGTTTACGTATCTTTCTATTTTGTTACTTATTTTACTGGAAAATTGAAGAAAAAAAATATAGTAATTAATCGATACATTTTTGGAATAAATCCGGAAACCCATTTTTTTTGGAAAAATTGTAGTCCAAATTGACATTTCTATAAAAGTATAAATATTTATATATTCAAAACTGAAAAACAGAATAAAACTATTTTTGTATAGAAAAATAAATGTTTACATGAATTGTTCTCAACTTCCTACGGAAAAGCATCATAACGCATTGTGTCAACAAAATGTATTTCTGTATTCAGACTAACTAAATATAATTCAAGGAATATTATTTAAATTTTCCAACAAAAATTATTGTACATCTTCAACAATGTGTTACTTGTATAAAGGACTCATCTTTCAAATACAGAAATTGTTTGCTATTTTAATTCCTATAAAAGCTTTCAATAGGCATTTTGACTGCTATACATTATATTCACTTAAATGTTGAACGAACGATATTTAATTATTTTTATCAAAAGGAACGTTAATTTAATTATATAATATTATAAGATTATTACAGCTAAAGTATATTATTCAAATTCAAAAAGTTAGAAATTATAACATGTGATCCGACTACCTTAAAAAAAGTTTCAACGGCTATTGTACGATTTAATACCAATGTATTTTTTTCAGACACACATGTTATTTTTTAATGATTGATTCTTTTTAAGATTTATCTCTATTATGTAGAAGGTTTTTCGATAAACTAGCTCGTTTCAATTGCCGTGTGGGATATAGTCCTTTGACAAAATAATATTAAATTTTATCATATATTTCAGCGAACACCAGTCAATACGCTCACTACGTTTTTCAATCACTCGACCACGAGAGAAACGGTATTCTAAATTTTGAGGTAAGAATAATACTCATAATAATTGGACATTTACCTAACTATTTATATTTATGTATTTATATTGTACGTAGTTAGTTATAAGTATACTCGTACTTATAGTACGACTATACTTATACGAATAGTATTCAATATACTCAACGTGCATAAATCAACGATATTGAACAGATTATAAGATTGTATATATAAATATTTATACATAGGGTATTATTTTTTATCGTCAATTTTGATAATTTAAAAAATGCGTGACCGTTTATATAGTAATTTATGTAATATGTTTGCGATCTAATCCAGGTATTTTCGTTTCTTTCGATTTGTAGAAACAAACAAAAAAAAATGGTCAAGTTTTTTTTTAACTGGAATATATTATTTATTATTCGATGGAATTACTTGGGCGGGCCGTAAATTAAGACACGTGCGTCAAAGTTTTTAAAAAATAATTTCCATCACCCGCTAGAACTTTGTACGTCGTAAAGTTATAAGTCACTTTTAAAATGGAGATTAAATAATGTTATATATAATATTCAGACCACATAATGCCTTTAGAAGTAAGAGTTATATTATTTCGAACGCAATAATTTATAACAGCTGTCGTTTATTTTAAGCTAAGGTAAATTTAACTCATACTGTTTCATTGAAAAATTATAATAATAATAGTTTTAATTATAATATATTTCGTAATATTATCGACGCCGTATTTATGTCAAGAGTCAAAAAACTATATTATTAACAATTAATTATGAATTTAATAGTTAGTATACACCAATAACTTTAATAAATAATATTATATCAATATTTAATAGTTGTAATTATTTTCAAAACATCTAATCAAATATATTGACCATTTAAAAAACAATAAAAAGGCATGGTTTTATATTTCTGCGTGGGTTAGTTCAGCTTTATTTGGACCGTCGAAAATGATAAAATCAATGCAAATATGTCAAACCATAATATAATACATTATGTTATTCTTCTTCATCTTCTGGGCTTTTACAGGCCTTTAAGGCCCATCGCCGCAACAACGTATTGTCTCCAACCCGTTTCTTAAAATCGTTTGCACATTCTTCTGCGTTCCTTACGTTCAAAAGTTAAAAGTCTTCTTGTACTCTATCCATCCATATTTGTCTGGAGCGTCCTCTAGGTCTCTTAGTGTCGGGTTTCCATTTAGTTATTGATCCAATCATTCCCTCTGATCTCCATACGTGCCCCGCCCAACTTATCCTCGTGCTCTTCGGGGGCCCAATAATGGTAGGTTCCTCATAGAGATTATCCAATTCTTCGTTGTTTCTCATTTCATACTCTCCATCGTTATTTCTTTTTGGACCGAAGATTTTCCTTAATATCTTTCTTTCAAACACTTCCAACTTTCCTTCATTACTTAACATTATGTTATTGACTAACTATATTGTTACGTTTTATAATTCTATTATAAATAAAATCCAGATATATTTTTTTATACAATAAATCGAAAATATTTGTTTGCTATATGTTTATCTTGATTTTATATCAAACTAGGACTAATACAAAAATTAAACTTCAAAAAATAATTAAACGACTGCTTTGTGTTACCCAGTCAGGTCTAATTGCACAAAATGCGTGTAATCAAAATTCATCTTGACGTTTTGAATGAAAGCGTTCAATGCTAAGCTTATAATATTGTTGTAAATATAATAAGAATAATGACTAATCTATTATACTCCGGGCTCTGACGTTTCCTTTGATTATGTTTTACTGTTTTTACCCGAGAAATGTATTCTAAGTATTTAACAAATTACATTAATTAAATTCGAAAAAGTCAGTAGATTCGCTGAAATTACAATAATACTTGTTGTATAATCTGGTTAGAGACTACGCCTTGAACGCATATACAATTAGCATTGTGAAAAGAGAGAAAGATTAGGCAAAGAAGATTTGGTTTGATGAATTCTGATATGAAAACCGAAATAGCTGTATAGTGTATTATAATGCAGTATTATAATATACTGTAGGAAAATAGTATTTTTTTTATTTTTCACAGATAATAATATAGCTTTCTATTACTTGTGCGGAGTAAATCCAAAGTTTTAATAACTTTTAGCCAAAAATAAAATTATACTTCCAAAGTTCGGTAATTGTATGCAATTTATTCAAGTATATTAATTGTATTCGGTGTATAAGTTTGCCAAAGTTTTTTCCATCGAAATTCGACACGTTTAAACGTTATCTCCCCATTACGCGTTTCTTCTTTCCAACAAACATTCTAAAAAAAATAATAATAATAATAATACCTAATCAAATTCAAGCGCTTAAGATACTTTGGATACTCAAAACAAAATAACAATATAAACACAATCGTTAGCTTTTAAACATTATATTATAATATTCAAAGTTAATAGTAAAAATCGTTCACTATATTACTTTTCGGTGTATTTTAAATGTTAAAAATATTATGTTCGTGTTTAACGTTTAACGACACAATTACACAATTTAATATTGTCTTTACCGCAATCGCTCTGCCCCACCTTCTTAAGATTCAGGAAAGTATATTGATTTTCAAAATGTGTCCAACAAGTGATTTTTCTCGACACTTTTTTTTTCTTTTTTTTTTTTGCACGCACCCAATCCGAGAAAACATTGTATCGTTTCCAAAACGTTAAGCGAGAGTTGTCGTTGCCTTTTCATCGACTCGATGCTTCGGCCCCATTAGCCCGAGGAAAAGCGGAATTCAGTCATCCTTAAAACCGGATGAAGCGGACACCAAAGCCATTAAAGTGAAATGCCTTTTCCAAGCACGGTCGGGTTATCTTTTCAATAACTGACCGCGACCTTAGTGACTTAGTGAGTAATAATAAACACCCTATACCGTTCGGTTGTTAGCGCTATTTGTTAATTTAATGAGTGGTCGCAGCTCAACGTTTGAAAACATCTAACGATTAAGTTTATGTCAACCCAATTCAAAAATAAAAATAAATTCAACGAAAACTTAACCATAGAAAAATACGTCGACGTTGAACACATCCAAACGGCTTTGTATTACCCTTTACTATAATACATCTACTGAAAATTTTAACAAGATTATAAGACCGTTTTACTTTTATTGTTCATTTCCTACAGTAATCAGGAACGGTTTAAAATGCTTATCACTCAGCGAGCCTTTGTTGTCTCTTGTAACGATAATTTTATATACAACAGTCGTTTGGTCTACAATAAATTTAATTATCTGTAAAAATATAGTAGATTTACACACAATTAGAGAACTAGGTATATACTGAGAGTGTCAAGTAAAAACAAATAACAAAATTATATTGTTATAAGTTATAACCATAAGAAAAATTCTGAATTTATTATTATACAAATATTAGTTAACAGTACAGCTTTAGTACTCGTGACTCCAATTATTTGTTTCCAATTGGTTTTGTGTGGTTAAAATATAAATAAGGTAGGACTGTTGTATAGGGTGGACACGATTTTATGTTATTTATATACCATAAAAATATCCGTACAAATATGTATCAGCTCATACTTAAACTTTGAAATTAAATTTACTTAGGGGTTTATAACTCAAATTTGTTCCACTCTGATAAATCCGGATTTTCCTGAATAGTTAATTAAAATAATTATCAATTTTATAGTTTTATGGTTTACATGAATTCATAATTTATGTGTAGTGTACTTAGTGTTATTTTGTATTAGAAAATCATAAAGCAAGCTAGAAACAAACATTATAAACCTGCGTTATTACTTGTCGGTTGTACTTTATATTTCTGACCAAATTAACTATTTCCCAAATAAAGCAAACGTACATTTAATGTATGTATATATATCCTATAAACTGTGCTATGACAACAAGCGTGACCGTGGATTTAGGTCAATTTCGTTGGGGTATGCTCGAAATTAAAAATATAATCTCTCCTCACCCTCCGCCATTCACGTTTTAATTACAATTCTGAAAAATATATGTTACGCCAAGATCGTGTCAGAATCCATCACTGTAAAAACCATAATAGTGTACACAAAATAAAAATTGTGGATTAAAATCATAACAACACCGTTATACGATTATACATATTTATATATTTTCAAATACCTTATTATAGCTACTTATGACTTTTAGTGTTCTTAAGTTTAAGTGTAATCCGTTTGTGACCGACAAATAGGAATTACTAGGAGAGCCAGACAATATAAGTAGTGACAAATCAAACATATAGTTTATACGTTCAAATAAAGTTTCTAAACGCAAATAAAACTGTGCATAACCTGAGTAATTGGCATTCATATGATATATGATACAAGGCCAGTACTTACGCTTTAATGAGTTTAAGATAATTTATATAGTTAAACTCGACTAATTATATGTATTATAAAAACTAAAAAATATGTATTGGCAAAAAATCAAACAAGTATAATATTTGTTTCATGTTTAAAACAAAAATCATATCGTGTAATTATTGAGTATTTAATAATATTTAGAAAATATAATTGAAAAAAAAATTTTCTTTTAAATGACCTAACTTAAGGAGAAGTCATGTAACCAACGATTCCGCCTTATTGGTTTGTATATAAACATTTTAAAAAAGTTACCATTTATGTATTTAGTTCAACTTTAACTATTTAGATAACTATTATTAGCAACTCTGAATTATGATATATGTACTTAAAAAATGTATCACAAACTCATAAATCTTAACTCTGTATGTAATGTTTTGTTAAGAAGTGTTTCTACATAATTGTTGTGTCTTGTAATCGGAAAATTGTACTTATATTTTTTTCATCTACAAAAAACCCACTATGTCGAGTAGCAAATAGAAGGCTAGTGAAAACGGACTGTACTGTGTGTAAACTATTTATCCAATTTAAACGCAATCACGTTGTGTATCACTGTCCACTATGTACGCAGAACGTTTTTCGTTAAATCACAACACTGAACACATAAAAACAAAAATAAATAAAAAACCTCGGTCTTAATGGCAATAAAACAGCGTCGCTATACTTACGAATATATATATATATATATATATATATTT